AGGACCGGGGGAAACGGGCCGAGAGGACCGGGGGAAATGGCCTGGGACCGGGAGGACGGGAAGGGGGCTGGGAAAAAGCTGGGGCCGGGCCGGGAGCGGGCTGGGGATCCGTCGGGATGGGGATGGGGTCTGGGGATGTGGATGGGGCTGCGGCTGGACTGGGGATTGGGATGCAGATGGACATGGGGATGGGATGTGGGGATGTACATGGGATTGAGATAGGGATGGGCATGAGGCATTGGGTTTGGGAAGAGGGTGTGGGTATGGGGATAGGGATGAGAACTGGATGCAGATGGGAATGAGGTATAGAAATGGGGATGAAGATGGGGTTGAGCATGAGAATGGGAGTGGAGATAAGGTGCAGGGATGGGGATGAGGCTGCAGATGGGAATGGGATGGAGGTGTAGGGATGGGGATAGAGATGGGGATGGAGTGTGGGGATAGGGTGGGGTGGGGACTGGGATAAGGGTGGGGATATGGGAATGAAGATGGTGTGGGGATGTGGACGGGCATGAGAATAGGATGTGGGGATCACATTGAGGCTAGAGGAGGGTAGTGGGGTTGGGGTGCAGGGATGAGGATGGGGATAAGGCTGAGGATGGGATCTGGGAGCATTTAAGTGGAAGCACTGGTGGGAGCTGTGCCAGAGCACCAGCAGCAGCCAAGGAAACAGTGGGATTTTCCAATGATGCAAGTCCCACAGCTCGGACCCCACAGCCAGCTCTCCTGCTGTTGTGGCACCTTTATTTCCTGGCTGAAATAAAACCAAGCTCTGTAGCTCAGTTCTCGTGCTGGTGCTTCAAGACAAACTCGGTACCACTGGACATCCCAGGTGACAGATGGATTTTTCCTTTTAATTTGGAGCAGCCGCAGAAGATTAACTGGGACACAAAGCAGATTCCCATCTTCCTTCGTTCTGGGGGTGCCAGGCGTAGGAACAAGTCAGGAGGCTCTAACCTGACATGGTGCCTGTGCCTCAGGGTTGTTCATGTTCGTGGGGTTGTTCAGCCTGGAGAAGTGGTGGCTCAGGGGAGACCCCACTGTGGCCTTTCAGAAGTTAAAAGGGGCTTAGAAAGGAGCAGGAAAGCAACTTCACATGGTCACATAGTGATAGGAAAGAGGGAATGCTTTCAAATTAGGAGAAGAAATACTTAGATTATATATTTGGATGGAATCCTTCCCTGTGAGGGTGGGGAGTCCCAGGCACAGGGTGCCCAGAGAAGCTGTGGCTGCCCCTGGATCCCTGGAAGTATCCAGGGCCAGGTTTGGAGCAGCCTGGGATAGTGGAAGGTGTCCTTGCCCACAGCAGGGGGTTGGAAATCAATGACCTTTAACAATGTTCCCAAACCCAAACCATTTTATGATATGATTCTGTGTTCCGCATTGCAGGTGTTGTAGCAATAGCACAACACAAACTGTTCTCACCGGACATTCATCTGAAAAACAGCAGAATAAAAAGAGTAAACAATCATTCCTGAACAAGGGAGCTCTGAACTCAAAATTCTGGATGTGGAGGTGTTACCTGAGTGTTACAGAGTTGTTGCTGTCTGTAAGGAGCAGCAGCCCTGCTCAGCACCATGTGAAGTGAATAACCACTGATGTTCTGCTGTTCCTCTGACAGCTCCGCTCCCCATGAATGCATCCCACTGCTGCAGGTCTGCCTTGCTTCACACTCTGACTGCATCCCTGCTGAAGGTTGGTGCTTTGGACACCTTCCACTACCCTAGGTTGCTCCAAGCCCTGTCCAACCTGCCCTTGGACATTTGCAGTTTGAATGCTGAGTCCAAACATTTATAAGGGAAAAATATTTCCATGTACACATCAGCAGTGATCTCATGTGGTGCAGGAGAGAAACAAAAAGCTGCTTTTTCTCTTGCCACAACCCCAGCTGTAAGAAATGTGAACAATGAGGCACAGAGCAACACTGAAGTTCCAAAGAAAACAAGGTTACATGCAGACAGGCTTGAGCCAGATAAGCTGACACAATCTGTATCCTATATGAGAAGCTTTGCCAGGGAATTTGAAGCCAATCTTTGCTTCCATTTTTAAGCAGCAAATCCTTATGGCAAACTAAAATCTGTAGAGAAAAGCATGGACTTAGTATTTGGGGCAAAAGACATAAAAATAAACATGTACCACTAAATATTGGACTGTTGGGAGAATCTTTCTCTGTTAAGCACTACAAAACAAACAATCATAAAATCCACAAAACAACCAAAGCCAGGGCAGAGTCTGCAACAGCAGCATGGTTTGTATTTTAAGGTTTCCTTCCTCAGTGTGGTATGAAGTGTGGTCAGCACACATTAGATATGGCACATGCAGGGTCAGGCAGCCCAGCCAAGGGGATCAGACAAACTCAGGCAGTATTCCCTAAAACCCCAGCGAGCTGTGGAAGTGCCAGCCAACATGAGAAGTGCCTTGCTGTAAAAATACCGGGCAGTTACTTCACTGAGTGGGTTTTTAGAATGTATTAAATGCAAATTCACTACTTCTTGCCATGGCATGGGGGTTAGAAAGAGGCAGGGCACTCATCTACTCAGCTCCCCAAGGCACTCTGGAAAATGTGATTTTTTTGACTGACCTCCT